TGAACAGTATTGGTCTGACTTTGGGAGGAGGAGGATCGGTTTGGGAACTACACTGTGGAAAATCCTGGGTAGAGCCTCTGTCCTCTTATACAGTGTGTACTTGGATTTCCAAAGCAGGACTCACGAGTCAACCAGTTTGAATCAAATTAATCTTATCTCTCCATCAGCAGCTCTGAATCCAAAAGGAAGTCCATTCCATTTACAAACAGCAACAATGAAGCAATAAATTTAGAAAGATTACTTACCAAAGCAGGATGCAATAAATCTGAGACAAACTAAGTGCAGGAAACATGATTTACTGAGTTATGCAATTAAAACAACACCTCACACCTCACTCTGGATTATTTAGATACATACTGTATACTATGGTGTGCACTTATGCAAAACAAAGCCTCAGGTAATACGTTTCAAGGCATACATTTAGGGTATATAAGTACTCATATTCTTAATTAATTACAGCATCGTTTCCAACTCCTTTTTGCTGAATATGTTCCTATACTAGCAAATCACCATAGAAGAAAAGCAAATGAATTCACTGTTGTGCTAACTCATGTTATCGTAAAAACAGGTAAAGCACAGCTCTTTTACAGCTGTGAGTGCTGAATTCTGTCAACATAATGCAGATCATTGGACAGCAATGATCTTAAGAAATGCTTAGAGTTGACATTAATAGTCTCCTTCATCTTTAAGCTCAATAAATCAGTTTTGGTCACTTTTATACCAATATTGTTTCCAACCCTGCTTCTGGAGGTTCAAACACCTGTTGGTTTTAGAGGAGCACCTTTAATAGTCTCTCCTGAATACACACTGCCAAAATAAAATACGGAGCATAGGGGATTCACCAGAACACACCTTCTAACAAAATCCAGCTGAGCATCCTGGTGACAGTGAGTCATGGCAATGTTTTTACCAGTGTGAAGCACCTGCATCAGATACCGGAAGCTCTGAATCATCTGACTTAAATGCAGTTATGGTTGTCCATGCTTCTCAGTGTGTTAGCAAGATCTACATCAATCAATTTTCTCTCTGTTAGTTGGTAGCATTGCTGGATTCTAGTGAAGGTGGATAGATACCCTTACAAATTAATACTGACATGTTCCTGTCACCAGCTTTTCCAGGTTGTGTGTGTGAAGGATGAAAACATCATGATGACACCTTACATTTCCATCCTGTGATATAGTTACATACAACAAGGATCAAATTCATTTCTGGAAGAATATGACAATCTTCCATAAACTCATGCTCAAAAACATGTAATAAGTATGTTACTAAAATATTCTCAGATGTGGACAACTTGTTAAAAAAAACTTTTTTGTAAGTATTATCTAGTATGTTGTCTCAATTGCTATTTTAATTGTTTCTTGATTTCCCCAAATGGGACAATAAAGCTTGAATTGAATTGAAATTGATGTTTTGTAACTGCGCAAATATATTTATATAGCAGTTTTTAATCCCAAATGATTCCAAAGCAGGCCAGCATGGTGACACAGTGATCAGCATTGCTGCCTTGGAGCACTGTGGCCCTGGGGTCCGTTTCTGGGGTGCTGTAGATGAGAAGTTTGTATGTCCTCTCCGTGTTTGTGTGGATTTCTTCTAAACTCTTTAAAAAAAGTTTAAAACTCTTGCCCAGCTCCTCACCACTTCATCACATTAATTCACTGAAACAGACCTGAGACACTCTACATTTGAAAAGAATAATCTTGCATTTTTCATTTTGTTTTAGAAGGACCTATTTTTTAAGTACCATGCTGTACCAAAGTCAATGTTAGGGAAAATGCTTCAAAACAATTCATACCAGTCAGGTCAAGTTGGTCTTCTGTTTTTAAAATGAGGCACCTGTTGTCTTTTGGTTTTCTGTGCAGTAGTCTTTAGTCTTTTTGATCCTGTTTTTTCAGTATGTGCTATCCCTGGAATGTCTCACCTCCCCAGGTCTGACAGCTTTTGGACGTTGATCAAGATGAAGAAAAATCTTCAGTCCTGCAAAAGAAAAATGGAAATCTATCACAATGATTTTCATTTGAAAAATGTTTTTCATTTCACATCTTTGGTAACACTTTGCATTAACTTTCAGCTTATTATTTTAAGATCTTAAATGTTTTAATAATAGATTATGCATATATTTATGCAAATTTAACACTATTTTACTCACATTCAACTGAATCTATTCAAATATGTAATTTGTTCTTTACATGGATTTTGTAAATATTTATTAACTGATTTATGATGGTGATTGTCTGAAAAGTGCTAGTAGCCCATATAAGGGTCGCATATTAGGATAACATGAAATTGAAATGAAGTGCACAAAGAAAAATTTATTTATTAAATATTAATAAAATAATTATACAATACACCTTTATAAAGTATGTGGCTAAAGTTTCAAAGCAATGTTCAGATACAATATTTCTTCTTTCTGTGAATGATTTTGGTTAGGGAAAGGAAAAAAATGATTATTAGCTTAAATACTTTTAAATACAAATTGATCATAGCTGTCATAAAACGAATCCTGTATAGTTTAGCTTTCCTTTTAAATGGCAATAATTTTTAATCTAATTATTTTTTCCCTTATCATTTTAAGCTTTACATTTGTGTTTGTTTTTGTTTTTCATTTTGAATTAGTAACAGCCTCTCTTTTATGCCTACTGTAATTAGAAATGTTCATGAATCCATCCATTTTCTAACCGTTTCTTCCAACTCAGGGTCACAGGAAAGTTTGAGAAAGGCAGGGTATCTCAGGGCAGACATACAAACATGCACACACTCACACCTAGGGCCAGTTAAGCAGAAGTCAATTAACCTATACAAGGAAAACCTTGCAAAACATAGGGAGAACATTCAAAGACCACAAAGAGAGCACCCCAGGTCCAGAACTATGCTAACCACTATGCCACCATGTAGAAATGTTCACAAATGTATTAAAAAAAACCTTTTCACCACTCTTCTCCAAATACCTAACAGAATTGCAGAGATTTAGTGAATTATTGTAAAATATTCAATAAGAAAGCCAGACTGATCAGTTTTGTTTAGCAGAAGAATAATTACAGAGCCAAGGGAAATACAGGTGCTGCAGTTATTGATACATTCAGTGCTCTGACACTTCCTCAGTTGACACCCTTAGCTACTGTAGATTTAAACCAAATTGAATTCCCTGTATTACTTTTGTGCCATAATCAGTGACACAGCATGATGAGAAAGAGAACCTTATGTATTTTACGTAAGGCATCCTTAAGTTTCAGTGCTTAATTGCATTGGTAAGCATTTTTTCTGCCAGCCCTACCTGATTTTTTAAAGCTGTTTAAATGTCATGTTTTTGCTGACTTTTGACATCCTGATAAATTATTACTGCATTGAAAAGCTCAATAATCAGCAGAAGTGGAGTACAAAATGAAAGTAAAGGAAAAAAAAGCTTCAGTTTGTACTTTTTTGGTGAATTAATGACTCTTCACTTTTGCAATTACAGTTAATGCAGTGTGTTACATAAATATATCGGTGTTCACCGAGAATAACTTACTGAAAAACTTAAAAGACATTCATTTATATAGCTTTCTGCATAAATTAGAAATATTCAGAGACTAAAAGATTGACTTTTTTAGGGAAATTCGTGAAAGTATAAGATGTACTGTACAGTATGTGGATCCAAATTTGTATAATTGAAGTTAGTACTTATTAGTTTACTGAAAAAAAAACTCTGCTGATTCATGGCAACAGATAAACAATTTCATTTTTAATATTTAATGACTTGATTAAATGAACACTCGTGATACCTGATCAAGGCTTTTTCAGCAATTCTACTGCTTCAGTAATTTCAGAATCGGATTTTGTTCAATAAACAGCACCTGGCCTCACAACATGCAAATAGTTCTCACAGTTAAAAAGCTTGTTTAAACATGTAAAAAGTGGTGTTGTAATAACTATATATGTCAGCTGTAGGTCTCCAACATTTTTATAAGTGACGGCTGCCTATTAGAAGTACTAGAAGTACTATACCTCATCTTGAGAAATCTACATTGGCCCCTACCAACATGTGTCATTCTAACATCACATCATTTCCAATAACTGGGTTGGGCTGTCCTCAGGGGAGATAGCACCTGCACTGGAAATCTAGTGTCACTCTCGGCTCATGCTTGAAACATATTGAGCTACAATTCACACAGTTGGTTGTGCTAGACTGCTGGAAAAATGCCCATTTGCTGTGTGAAGCTCAGACACTCTGCTATCATACCACCCCAGAAAAAGCCATGACTGTTTTGGAATGACTAATACAGTATCTACATTTAATAACATAGGAATTAAATAAAACACTTGAACATGAAATGTAATAAATAACCCCTCGAATGGTGCCATTTTCTGTGTTGCAGTGGTTTCTGTTAACAGTCAAATTGCACACCTGATGCAAGGGATGATCTCATCAGATCTTAGCTGGTAGTGATTGTGGCACCTGTAATTGCCATTCAGGCCTACTGTTTGTGTACTGATGGTTTTGTTCCTTTATGTGGATTGACAACCTGGAGAGGGCAGAATAGAATAGGTTTGCTTTCCCCAATGTAGTGATGTGTTAGCGTGAACACTGCCCTGTACTGGAACTAAAGGCTCTTGGAAAGCTGCTTGACCAATTGATTGGCATGAGAATGTTGTTGCCCCAGAGTGTCCTCAGCGCACAATCCATCAGACAGACAGTGTATTGTGAGGCTAACCTCCAGATTTAAACCAGCTCCTGTGCTCCTGTGACAATTGCTCTCTGGCATCTTTTTTGGTTTGTCCAACCCCTGCCTCTCCAGAAGCCAGCCACCAACCAGGTCACACGAAACAGAAGAGGTGTTTGCTGTTTTTACTCTTAGTTTTTCTTTGTTTCATGGAGCCAAAAAAAATCATGCCTTCTTCTCGAAAATGCGGCCGAGATAAGATTCTGCAATCTGTAATATGGCATATGCCGAAATCTGGATTTGTGCTCCCTGCTGAATTTCCTTTGCTTGTTTGAAGTTGCGGGAAGGTGAAGAGTTCAGTCAGTGTTCCATTTCTGTTTTTTCCTCCCCCATTTCCTAATCTTGCTTTTTTCTTTCTGTGAGTTACTCTTGAGTAATTAGAGCAGTGTTTTCTTCTTGCGTAAGATGTCCAGAGCTATTAAATACGTTTAAAAATCGGTGGAGCACTGCGTGACTTCAAAGGTGAAGATGGAAGTGCTAAAAAAAGTTCCAGCAAATTTGTTGCTGTTCTCCTTTCTCATGTTCTTCAGCATTGCTGTAGAGCCCCATGCTCAAATCAGGGAAATCTACATTGCAGCAGTGGAGTTTGAATGGGATTACCTGCACAGCGAATATTTGGATTCTTTCCCATCACAAAGCAAGTATGTACAGTATGTTTTTTTTTTACAATGCTCTTAAAATTTTTTGCCAAGATGAGGGAAATATATTTTTCCAGTATCCTATATTCTGTCTTAAAAGGTCAATTTCAATAGTTCTGCAGGTCCAAACAGTCACAAAATAATAAAGAAAATAGGTGAACACAAACATTCAGGTGTTTCTTCTTGTTAGCAATAGTTTGTAACTTTTTAAACTTATTTACTCTATTTCCAATTTCTGTCTTAATAAAATATGTAGAAAACCTTTTTGTTCTCCAGATGACTTACAAGATACTGTATTGAGGCAAGTGATTTAATATTTTTTATTATCTGATATCCTGTACTATAAATGTATTTTAAAAATTGAATTCCGTAACTACAGAGGATAAAATTGATTTTTTAACCACCACAGTAGCTAGCACTGTAATGTTGTAATACTTAATGTTTAAAATGGTGTTTTACTGTATATACCAAGGAGTTTCTTTTTTTATGACTGCACATAGTCTTTATTCAACTTTAATTTGAGTATATTGCTTATTAATTTGAATAACAGTAATATTAGGAACAGTATTATTGATAATGGTAGTCATAGTAGCAATAATACAGTAGTAGCACTAGCATTAGAAGAGCATTATAATGGTATCAACAATAGCACCCTTGGTAGCTATATCTGTGATAGTTAAAGAAATAGCAATTTTTAAAGCTTGCTAAAGTAATAGCAATTTTATTATGATTCATGGTTTATTGATTGGAGAGTCAATTTCAAATCTGACAACAGATTAGTTAAATCTATGTTATATTACCCTTAAAGAAATTTACTTTACCCCTGTGTCCCAGGTAGTATCCTTTATTTAATCATTAATTTTAATTTGTCTGAATTATGAAAAGTCCATTTGTTTTCTAGAAGATACACATATCTTATGATTTAATCAGCTGTTTGAATAAACAATTTACCTTTTTACATATCAAACACAGTAATAACTAATTTATTTGGATTTTTGTTTGATCAGTAGTGTGTTTTATTACTTTGTAAAGATTATTCTAACAGAAAAATAAAATGCTTTCATAATACATACCTAGCATTTAGGATAACTTTAGTACATTTAACATTCTTCTGTTAAAATTTCAGTTGCATTCAGAAAATCTTGGATGTTTCTTCACTAGTGCCATCATATATTTCTGCTATCTCTGCTGTTGGTGTA